GTTCATCAAATGAAAATAGAAAAATCTCCAGAATTCCACGAAGAGTTGTCGGTTCTTGCAATGGCCCGCAAATGAATGCCTATTCTTACACCGCATGCATAGTCAATGGTGTTAGGTTTATGGTACTTAGTCGTGACACACAACGTACAACACAAAACTCTGGGGTTTTAGCGGTGGGTGAGAAAGCGAGAAGTATTATGGTCAGTTAGAAGAGATTATAGAGTTGAGGTATACACATGATTATTCAACTGTACTATTTCGTTGCAAGTGGTTTGATACTCGAATAGGAGTTATTTCTAGTGATAGTTTCACCAGTATCGACACACGACGCGAAGCATACAAAGATGATCAACTCATATATGCGTCACAAGCCAAACAAGTGTTCTACATCAGAGAGCCAAACAATAACCATCGGTTTGTTGTCGAGCATGTTAATCATCGAAGTATTTGGGATCTACCATCGAACGATGACCTTGTTCAAAATGTTGACAATGTCTCACACGAAAATGTAGACGATGTCGATGTACTTCAAAATATCTCTTCATCCGATGCTCCACTTTTTATCGATTTCAGCATGTACTTTCAAAACATTCCTAGAGTCATTGTTGATGTAGAAAGTGCATCTGAAGTTCCTCCGCCAACTGGTAGAGTCAATGATGTTTCTGATTGCGATACTGATTACGATGACACCGATTCTGACTATGATACCGAAGAAGACACTGAAGGATATGAGAAAGATTCTGATTAGAATAGTTCTTATGTAATATGTGTTTATAATATGAACTGTATTTGGATTTCTAGTTTAAATGGAAATGTTTATTCCTATCTAAATGTTTATTCCTATGTAATGTGTATCTATAATAAAAATTGTATTTGTATATCTTATAATTTTTCAGGAAATGATGAGAGTGTGGCTGTTGTTTATGTTTACCATGGCTGCTGTCATGGGTCGTGGACATGGGGGAGACGGAGCTGAGGACCCACCTTTCCCAGGTGGTAGAGGTCCTGGCCAGCACGAGCAGGACGGTAAGTCTTATCATGAATTTTTATTTACTATTTTTGTTCAATTATCATAAATTAAATGTCGTTTCTAATAATTTTTAATTACATTTGTAGTTGAGGGACGTGCCCGAAGGAAAGCTCGAGGAAAAGCAAAAAATATAAAGCTTGAAAAAGCAATCTTGCAGAACCAGGGGAAACCAATAGCCATGCAATTTGATAGAGATATCACATTTAATCCCGTAGGAGAGGCGGGAGACATGTTTTCCCGAGAAGTTGGGAAAACAATGTGGCAGATGGTCCCTTTCGACAAATGGAGTTGGAAAAGAGTTTCCCCTGAAATAAAGGAAACTGTATTACAACATTTAGCGGTAATTATTTATTTAAATATATTTTATAGGTTTAACTATAATTGTTTCTTACTTGGTTAACTTTTTTTTTTTAATTGTAGACAAAGTTTGATCTCAATCAAATGTACCAGGATGCACAAGCTACTTTATTGACAGAGAGTTTTCAAGCAGCCTTGTTAAGAGGTTTTCGAGAGCGTAAAGCCGACGCAAAAGAATATTTCAACATGGTCGGAGGGTATGAAGATATCCCGAGAGCATTGGCAAATCCTCCGGATGGTATGCTTGTTGATAACTGGGAGAAGACAGTTGAGTATTTTCAAACTGACGAACACAAAATTGCTTCAGAAAGGAACAAAAAAATCCGTGAAAAGCAAACAATTGTGAATCGTGGGGGTTCGAGCTCGTATATAATCTAATTTTTAAACTTAAACAGAACCTTAAGAGAGTGGAAACATTTCGCAAAGCTCACACCGATAAGAATGGTGTATTTGTTACTGCTGAATCGGAACAACAATATGTAAGTATTTAATTATAATTTTATCATATATTTAAATGTTTATTTATACTTAATTGTTACTCACTTTTGGGAGTTACAGAATCGGTTAGTTGAAGAGCTGCTAGAACAAACTCAAGGTGAAAGTGAGTTTACGCCAACTCAAGAAAGAGCTACGTTCGAGAAAGTATTAGGAGAGCGACGTGGCCACATTAGAGGCATTGGCCGCAAACCTTCTGGTCTCCCGACGATTCCACAGCCTTCGCAACCATCACAACCACCATCACAACCATCACAGGTAAAATAGCAATCTACTTTAGCATCGTAAAATGCATGTTGATTTGGTAGTTTTGGTTTTGTGGTGGTTATTTGCTAAAAAGTTTGGTAATTTAGTTTTTGTCCCAAGTGCAAAATATAGCAATGTACTTTGGTTTTCTATCTTACTTTAAAAATAACAATGTATTTTGATAGTTTATGTTATTAATTATGTAGTTGGAAAATATAGCAATGTACTTTGTTTATGTTTGACGATCTAACTTATAATTTTATATATATTGTTATTAATTATGTAGTTGGAAAATCTTCGTGCAATGCTCGCCGACCCGGCATGTAGGGATGAGCTTTATTCGTTTTTTCAATCCCAAAACAATCAAGGAAACGATGGGAACAGCGATGAGGGTATGTAAAGAATGGGTTTTATTTGCATATGTTGTCTCGTTTTGCTACTTAGTAGAATGTAAAAATTTTGTTGTTTTGCTACTCGGATAGTATGACTTTTGATATTTAATTGTATATTGGATGTTTGTTTGTAATAGGATGTTTGTTTGACACTATTATGTTTGATATTTAATAGGATGTTTGTTTTGTAATTAGCGTCGACACTATTGGTTTTGATATTTAATCGAATATTGTTATTACCGGCGACACTTTTACCTGCGATATTATCACCGGCAACACTTTTACCTGCGATATTATCACCGGCAACGAAAATCGTTATTTAAAAAAAAAAAAATTGAAAAACAAATTACCGGCGACACTTTTACCGGCGACAGTTATCATTACCGGCGACACTTTTGCCGGCGACACTATTAGCGGTGACATATGTCATTACCGGCGACAATATTATTAGCGGCGACAATTGTCAGTAGCGGCGACATACTAATAGCGGCGACTATTATCTTTAGCGGCGACAAATTGATCAATAGCGACGAGTCAGTACGGGCGATTCATTACCGGCGACGCGTCGCCGCTATTATCATTACCGGCGACATTTGGGACTTTTACCGGCGACTTTTATCGCCGGTAATGGTCTTTTTCCTTGTGGTGTACAGTAGTCTTTACGAGATTCAATGCTGAAAATGTGTTTTCTATATTCATTGTAACACATAAGATCAATACAAGATTAAAAAAAGATAAACCTTAAAAAAAGAAAAAGAATTATTAGTTTATTACAATTTATATATAATTCACAAACAGTCAAATAATCAAATGCAAATAAATAAAGAATTAAGAACTATTAATCTATTGTAATCTACAAAATATCAATTATCAAAGATTCATAGTATGAAAGTTTCTATCACTGTTTTGAGCTTTCGATGGTTGATAACACCCACAAATAATCAATTGCAAATAAATAAAAAATTAAGATTAAGAACTATTAATCTATTAATCACAAATAATCAATTCCAAATAAATAAAGTAACACGGTTTCTTTTATTTACTTATACTTATATATTGCATTGGTTTATTGCAATAAAACGCGGGCTTTAAAAATCTGGATTTCTATATTATTGCCAAACATATTAAAGACAAGGTAAGTTATTTTAAATATTAAAGGTGGTTCCCAAATGATTTTTATATACAAGTTATTGCAAAAAAATTCCCAAATGATTTTTATATAAGTTATTGCAAAAATGAAAATTTTAGATGGGTAAAGTGAGTAAGTGACCCTCCTTTTCTAAATGTAGACTCCTTGATTTTGTGGAAAAAAAATTAAAAATAAAAATAAAAATAAATAAATAAATAACATTAGTAAGTAAATGTATATTAAAAGAGAACAATGTAACCCTTTTAAGTCATTTTTCCTATAGTTTTTTGCATCATGTAGTAGTTTTTGAGTAAAAAGATAATAGTATATAATAGTTTTTGGTAACATGCAGTTGTTTTAATTTGTTCTCTCATTAAGCTATTTATAAAATGTTAAATGATTTTCTAATGAAAATAAATGGAAGAAAAAAAAAACCTAATAGAATATATATAGTCGATTTAGGATATACAATTCGAATAGATAAATTTAATTTAGTATTATGTAATTTAATTTTTGTTATCTTCAAGTAGTAGCATTGGAGTCGCTGAATTTCATCAACATATATTCCATGGTGATTATGATAATAACTGATTAAAATTTTAGAAAATAATCAATTTTTAAATTACTTCTATTTTCAGTTATGTTCCAGTTAGAATTAAATCATCGACTTCAAAAAAAGATCACCATACCTGAAAGCTCGCTAGGTTAGACTTCAAAAAGAGATCAGAAGTCTTTGGTTAGTGTAGTGAATGTAGTTTATCCGACATCAAGGGCTTGGTGGTTATTTGCTTTGTATTTTAAGGGGAAAAAAAACTCCTGTGTAATATAAAACTCTGAAATACTTTATTTTTTATTGGTAGCTTATATGTTTTAAAAAACCACAAGTACATTACACCACCGGCTTTTCTTGGATAGCACAATGCTGTCTTACCCAATAGGAAGCGAACAGGGTACAAACCTCTATAGTACTTTGTTTTGTGGGGTGAAACATAAACATTAAAAAGGTGAAACTGGTGGTTTCTTCAACGGGAAGTTAGGTATTACTATTTAATTAGTATTAGTATTTTATTGAGATAAATCTGTATTCTCTATTGTCACATTTTGTATGCACAACTCCCCACAGCCACTCATAACAAACACACAGTATAAGGATAGACGTAAACTCCAGAACTCGCACACTTTGGGGTTCCATGAGATGAGCCTTTGAGGGTCAAATTTGCAACCATATAATCAGCTTCACCATGGCATGCTGTGTTTGGATGGGATTTTCTTCCACCCATAACTATTTGGCTTAAATTTCCCCTTTTAAGGATTTTTTTTTTTTTTTTTTTTTTTTTTTTTTTTTTTTTTTATTTTAATTTTTTTTTACAGGAAGCAAGGGTAGCGACTTTTAGGCGTTAAAAAGAGAGAGAGCGAGATGTTGAGGCGAATTCATCTTGTTAGTTGCAAGGTCGTTCAGACCTTCAACCCTTCTTCCTTGATCTGCTTTTCTTCTGATGCTGCAATCTGTGTGCATATGATATATGTAAGTCAAAGATCCAATAAATTTGCAACTTTTTAAAGATAATTTTGTGACAAGTAAAAAAATGTTACCAGCTTCTCCAGTTGTTCCTTGTCTTCACCCAACTTCTTTTCCTGCTCAAAATCATAAATTTAAATATAATTCATGTTGGCTTTATTCGTACGTACAGTTATCATGACAGGAAAAATGGATGTGCACAAATAACAGAAGGGAACGGAATCTTAACGACCTTGCAATTAACAGGGTGAATTAGCCTCTGACATACCAACATACAAATACATTAATGAAGCAAAGCAACTAGCTAGGTGGAGGTGGATCCACTAATATCACCAAATGTGGTAATTTTCTTTCTTTTTCAAATTATGAATATCAATGTGCCTTAGACTAACCAAACGTCATGAATCACAACTCTAATTTCTTGATATATAAGAAACAAATCAAAATAACCAACAATAAAGCCAGAATTAAGTTGTCAACGTCAAAATGTTGCATTTTTATTGTGGCCTTTAAATTTCGATTATATATGGAATGGACCTCAAACTCAAGATTTTATGTAGTGGCGTGGCATACCTGTTCTTGGAGGGTTGATATGTACTCCACCATCAACTGTGTCTGCATCCATTAACCAAAATGTATGTCAATTTATATATGGACTCTTCAAAAACAACCCTTTTATATATAGCATCTTGTTGCTCAACTCAGAGATGAAGCTTAACTAATATTACACACACACACACAATATCTTGAAGCATTTGTGTGAATCACCTCCAACAACACTAACAGAGCTCATATGCATTATAACCAAAAAAATTCACTACCAATCCAACAAAATCAAGTCAAGTATGAAGATGATTCAAAGCCAACACACACACACACACACACACACACACACACACACACACACACATATATATATATATATATATATATATATATATATATATATATATATATATATATATAGAGAGAGAGAGAGAGAGAGAGAGAGCAGCAACACAATCTGGAAAGTGAAACGAAGACGGAAAGTAGTCAAACAAACACATCACCTTTACCTTTCTTGACCTTGTTTGCTCAAGAGCAGCATCAAGATCTTCTTCTAGTTGTGTAATCTCAATCAGAGGGAGCTCATGATTATTATTATTTTTCTCTTCAACAAGCCTGTGCAAAAGAATTGGACCAATTTTCATAAGCCATATCATGCATTATATATCATCTCTCTCGGATTCCATTATCTTTCTATATATTCTGAGTGCATACATGATGTAATTAATATGTTGGTGGCTTTACTTTACTTACCTGTCCACCGTCTGTAGAAGCTCTTTACATGTTTGAAAACGTTTGCACTGCAACAAAAACTCCAGTTGTGACCACGAATTCAATATTTTATACAGATTAATCAACGCATTTGGCTTCCTATTATGGGAATGCTGAAATCCATTTATTCCTTTCTTAAATAAATCATAAATATTTGTGTCGTTTTATTTTTTACACTTTTATTTTATGACAACCATCCCCCCCCCCCCCCCCCCCCACACACACACACACACACACATATATATATATATATATATATATATATATGGTTAGGTTCATATGAGACGGCCTAATTTTGTGAGACCGTGAGACGCAATTTTTTTTATTTTTTTTAATTTTTTAATTTTTTTTAGTTAATTCAAGTTCTGAAAATAATATTTAAAAAAAGAATTTTTTGATTTTTTCATTTGTTTTGCATTTTAAAATTATTTTTAGAATATGCACAGTGTAATATTCTATTTAGAATATTTCACGTATTTTTCAAAAAAATAGAAATTTTTTTTATTTTTTTTAGTTAATTCAAGTTCCGAAAATAATATTTACAAAAAGAATTTTTAGATTTTTCCATTTATTTTGCATTTTAAAATTATTTTTTAGAATATGTCAGTGTAATATTCTATTTAGAATATTTCACGTATTTTTTTAAAAAAAAAAAAACGGGATTTTATTTATTTATTTATTTATTTTTTTAGATAATTCAAGTTCCGAAAATAATATTTAAAAAAAAAGAATTTTTGGATTTTTCCATTTATTTTGCATTTTAAAATTATTTTTAGATTTTGTCTCACGGTCTCACAAAATTAGAATGGTCTCAAATGAACCTGAACATATATATATATATATATATATATATATATATATATATATATATATATATATATATATATATATATATATAGTGCAAAACAGTTTGGGAGGGCAATAATTATGCCAAATCTGATTCATGACACTCTATTTGACAGATAACACATGAAATCAAACTAGCAAGTGGCCTTTTTGACCTACTAGGATATGATCATCTTAACTTTTATAAACTAATGGGTTTTCTTAACCCCACCATATATTTTTTTATCTGTTTTGATGCTTTAAAACAAATAGCAATGTATATTCATTTTATTTGTTTGTTATAGCATCCTACTTCTATTTCTTTCTATTGCAATATTATACTTTGTAACCTTTTTCTTACTAAGGCATTGTAGTTTGTAAAACAATCTTCTATTCTTCTCTACTAAGAAACTTAAAGCAGGAGATTTGTTTGATTGGGATTGGGTCGTCTCTCAGTCTTTTTATTGGATTCAGGATAGAAAGAAAAAAAAAATGCAACGTTTGTTAGTTGGACTGACTGGGTGAAAAACCCACTCTCTATTGTAAACTCGTTGTAGTTTTGGGTTTTGGAATGGATTTTGTTGCTGTTCAAAAAAACAACTTCGTAAATTAATCTACCCAATTAGAACAAGTATAATTGCTTTGTAATATTGTATTTACAATTTAGCTGATTTTCTAGCCACAATGTTGTAACAGAAAGAAATGAAAATAGGATGCTCTAATAAACAAATCAATGAAAGTGCGTACATTGCTATTTCCTGTATTTAGTCTGTTCTTTCTACTGCTGTTTAAGCTTCTCACTAGTTATTTGTTTATGCATCCGGCTGTTAGTTAGTTGAAGTACTAATGTTTATGTTTATCTCAAGTTTTTTTATTCAGCATCACTTCTAGAAAGAAGGGTAAAATGTCCAAAAAAGAAACTGACTTTTTATTTCATACAACAGACCCCCACCTAGACATCGTTTATCCAGAGCTTTTAATCCATTCAAAGCTTAAATAGAAAAAAGGAAACATGTTTCTCACATGCCTTTTAGAATTGTTTTCCCTTTCTTTCTTTTGATCAGCATCTAAGTTTTAATACAAAGGCTATAGCAGATGTCTTCTTTATCGTAAATGCCAATGAATAACATTAGATGCATGGTAATGATATTGTTTTTGGCAGATTGATATTTTAAGTTGGGAGTTATTAGTTTATATAGTGTGTATTACGGTGAATCAAGGCTTTTTTTTTTTTTTTTGTGAATTATGAACTTTATGGATTATTAAGTCAGCAGCATAACATATGTCATGACTCATGACTGATATAGTTAACACAATAGCTCTTTAGAAGGTAAAATTTATTAATGCTTACTAAATCTTCACCAGCTCCTTGGAAGGTTTTCTCCTCTTCCTTTACCTCCTCTTCAAGGCAGCTTTTCTGATATCTAGAAAGAATATGTTCCATCCTGAAAGAGAGAGAGAGAGAGAGAGAGAGAGAGAGAGAGAGAGAGGTAGTTGAACCTCAATTAATTAGTAACAATATAATTTCCAACAACTATATATGGAAAATGTTAAGATGTGGAGTTCAGTTTTTCGCCATAATACTGGGGGTTCAAGAACATGATGAGTTAAAATAAATCAATTTGGATGATCTAGATTCTTATTCCATGGACAAACTTTAAGTGGTGATTATGGAAGAGGACATTGTTATTGCTAAAAAGACTTTCATAAAAATCAACGTAATAAAACGAAGTCCAAATACCTATAAAATCTTATTTAAGAAATCACTCAGTTAGTAATTTTGTATTGATTGCATAGCCTCTCCTAGAGATTATGCAACTCATGGAGGAGGAACTATGCATTTTCCACTCATGGACCGAATCATTACAAAACTAGAGATCAAGCTTCAATATCAATTTGTAATAAGAATCATACATGAATAAGGTCGATTGGGAGTTCAACATTTGTGGATTTCAGATGCTGAGTCCTTGATTTAGAGAGCATATATAAGAGAGCTTGGATTTTAGTTTTTTATAGATCCAAGTTTCAATATCACTAGAAAACCTTTTTACTTTTAATGGAATATTTAATTGTGGTAGTAGCTTTTGGTGTATATTTTAATTTGGAAATGTATATACATAAACACATGACTTGGATTCTTTGAAGCATGAGTTTAATAATTAGCTTAAGTTAATTTCTCTACTTTTTAATAAGTTCAACTTAGTTTACTTTGAAGTTGAAACAACCAAATATATTGATAACTTGTAAAAGAACATAAGTTTATAAATATTTAACTAATTTGATTATTATTTCTATGTAATATGTGAACTATGGTTAATTTAGTACAAGCTGACCAATCAAAATTGATCTTAAAATGGAATCTCTCTTCCATCCATAAATTGGCATAGTTGGAAAAAGCTCACATCATTCACCATCACCATGACATGAGTGGCTAAAACCCACATTTTTTATTCAAGGTTTCAAACTATTTTTAGGGGTTTACTGTAAGCTTTGGGCTACCTGATCTGTGTATATATTTCTAGTTCAAGTACCCTTGCTTTTGGGTCTTATTTTCAAAAAACCCATGGATGTTGATGGAAATTGGGAACTTATTTTAATGTTTGTTTATCTATTGTTATCCTTCGACTTCATGATCCATGATTGTCTTGACTCTTGAATCATGAGAAAAGTAGCTACCTGATTTGTGTATGTATTTTGGAAGAATGTGTTGTCAACTAACTATCATATTCTATCTTTAAAAAGCATTCTAATCATTACCGACCAACAGATTCATAATAAGACTTGATTAGATACAGAGTGTATGCATATATTTATGTTGGACTTTCCTTTAGCTTTTTTCGTTATTAGCTTTCTCTTATTTAGGTTTATTCTAATTATTTCCTATTTATAGTTTCTTTTTCCTGTCACTCTAAATATACTTTTTATTAGTGATACAACTGAACATTCTTTGACTCTCAATCTTGGTATTAGAGTACAAACAAACAAGGCTTATCATAGCTAGCATTTGGCTCTTAATCTTCACTAGTTTGATCAGTCAATATTGGAAGACACAAGGTTTATCATAGCTATCATTTCATACCATGGTTAAATATTTGAATACAACTGTGTGTTTTAACTGATTATCAAGTAGATGATGTTTCAACACCTCAAATCAAATTTCTTTCACCATCAAATTTACTTACTCAATTCTATTCTTCTCATCAAAATTTCATAACAATGTTTTAACTTTGAATTTGATGCAAGAAGTTAAAACAAAAAAAAAAAACCAAAAACCCCTCCCCGGCCCATTTTACGTGTGATTTATAAATTGTTAAACTAAGAACTAACCTAAAACATTTCCGCATCGCTCGACTCCATGCCACTAGTACTCCATAACAATGTAATATAACAATATTACTTTTTTTATTAAGTCTCGACGAATCCCCATCACATGTGAAAAAAATGTGGCATAAGGATTTGTCAAAGAGATTTGTTGTGTTTGAAAGAAGAATCTATCTCAAATTTCTAATTCTTAACGTTAGATTGAGTACATGGTTTTGTATTTAGATTGAGTACATGGTTTTGTATTATGACATGACCTCACAATATGAGAAACTTGTTACTAGGAATGTGAGTCTCTTTGAATGAGGGTTGTTTGTAATCATAGTGTTTTGCTTTAGCTTTTAGAAAAAAAAATTATTGTGATTGAGTAAATTCTAATATATATATATATATATATATATATATATATATATATATATATATAGAGAGAGAGAGAGAGAGAGAGAGAGAGATGTAGAACACTTTTCCTACAGCTATGACACAAAGTGCACTTCATTTGCGAATAAAAGGGATAATTGACCAATAAAAAGGTGTTCAATTTTCAAGACACCATTTGCCTCTTCCTAAGACCCTAGAAAACCATTAATAAAGTGAACAAACTAACCCCTAGATTATTTACCCCACCTATAGGAAAGGACCAATTTGTTCATCATTAAACCATTAATATAAAGTTGAAGCCCATACATACGTCTAAAATTAGCCCCATCCCAAAAAAGACACTTTCTTCTTCAAGGTTAATTCATGAACCTTTGTCCTACTCACTATTAATCGACTCTAGGATCCCAATTTCTCCATCATTAGCCTCTCAACCCTAATCAAATTTGCCAACATTAACCTCCCGATGAGCAAACTTGTTAGGGTTACGCAATTCAACATCTTGATGTACGATTTCACACACATACACAAAAATTATGTAAATGAAAAAGGTGGTTTACACGATCAAAATGATCTGCTATGTCCACGCACGAACAAGAGAGAGAGAGAGAGAGAGAGAGAGAGAGCTTTTATTGATTATTGAATTGCTTACATATGTTAGGTTACACAAGGGATATATAAGAGTAGAAGACCTAAAATCTGCTAAATCTGGCCCTTGGCACATTTTGATATTGAATATGACATATGAACTAGCTTAGTCTACCTAGCAGCTATAATGTTAAAGAGTGAATCAAACTCCACAACTTAATAAAATTAAACTATCATTTAACCCAATTGCAACTTGGAACATATTTTTCTTTACGCCCATTAAATATTGAAATGTTAATCTCGCCATTAAACCCACTATCAAACATAACAAACACCTTTGTTTTAGTGCAATTGTTTCACCCAAAACCATCGTCATTCATGACTAGCACTCATTTCCAATAGCACATCCTTCTTTCCTCATTGAAGCAAATTGTGTGTCCATTTCAACGAACAATACCAACATCATGGATTTTTAGCCGAAGTTTTTCTTCCCACTACTCTACTTGCTTTGAATTTTGATGAGATTAATCCGACAACATATGAGATGCTATTATACCAATTTCAAATGGCCCTATACTTCGTTATGAATAATGGTGATTAAACAAAACATAAATAGAAGTTCACCAACTTTCGAGAGGTGGATTATCTCTCCCAAACCCTAATAATATGTTCTCAATGTTTTTTTTACTTTTGAAAAGATATGGGAGGAAAAAAAATAAAAAGGTTATTTTATTCATGTTCACGGGGAAAGGTTATTTTATTCATGTTCTCGAGTTAGACAAAAGGAAGAAAACTAATGATTTTAGGATTGTGTGCTTATTGTGCAAATATATGCTAAATGGTAAGAAGAATTAATTAAGAGAATATATTCTTGTCATTATGAACTTTTACAAAATTCTAGTCCGCTCTTTCCCTCAAAAACCATGGGGAAGTTTAATATATATATATATATATATATATATATATATATATATATATATATATATATACCCTTCTTTTTCTTCTCTTTGTGTCTTCCCTTTCTTTCTATAGAGTTTGAGAACACGTTGTAAATAACTAATAATAGATTTAACAGATAGTTTTTCTACCTCCATACTAATTTGGTACCAACACTTTTCCTTATTATCAAACAATCCGGGTTAACATCGATGCACAAGACTAGCACTATATGGTTTGTATGAATTCTAAAGCCTAGTACACTTGTTACAATGTATAACATTGTATCAATTTCTCTAACAAGATTTATCTTGTTAAAACCTATAACTACAATGGGTAGTAGTGTTGATAACTTGATATTCCTTTCCACCATCATACAACACAAAGTTTTAGAGATAGGGAGAGAACAACCATGTAACTTACAACAAATATGACACATGTCCCTACATCATATATGGACACATCTCAATCTCATCTTAACATGGAGGATTAATCTATTTCCAATGTGAAAGACCATCTAACCAAAGTGAACAAACTTAATTTGATCCAATATATATATATATATATATATATATATATATATATATATATATATATATAATGCTGTTAAATGCTTCTCAATTTTCTAATAACGCATGGTTCAAAACCAACAAACCAAAACAGCAAGTACTACGATATATATTCAAGAATAGTTGTCCTTAATTACAATTATGCAAGAATGAATGTACGTACTTTACCTTCAAAAAAAATGAAAACAAGTACAAAGCCATATAGGATGATTAACAAAATACAAGGCATGTCAAAATCAGTACGGGAAAATCAAATCAACGTGTAGCCTTCCACCAATTAAATAATCCTCATCACCACTAACGACTTTGAAACCCTACGCTACCTACAGGCAATAGCTGATTACAACTCCAATGAATGAAGACTACTACAAAGTTACATCTATCTATTTTCTAGAATATAACAGCAAGTTCTGGAGCCATCAATCATATCGTTGGTGTATTTTAAGCACGTTACACATAAAATCACTCGCTAAAGCCCTAGAAATCTCAGCATAATATATACACAGAGAGAGAGAGAGAGACGAACATAATTTTCAAACAGAAAATCGGAAACTGATATTGAATAACATATATATAGAAGACGATGAATTGAAGGGCAACCTGCTAGTACTGCCGGTGCAGGATTCATAGAGCTTGCCGCGGGCGGAGAACACGATGACGGCGACATCGACGTCGCAGAGCACGGAAAGATGCCGTGCTTTCTTAATCAATCCCACTCTCCGCTTCGAAAACGTCACTAACCTGCTACTCTTATCTTCGATCCGCTTCATTTCGAGCTTCTTCCGCCCCATTCTATGTGTTTTCCTTTTCGACGAATCTTCTAGACCTAATTAGCTTTTCAACTTCCGATGGCCTCTCTCTCTCTCTACCACTTATATATGTAATCGATCGCATGTGTTTAACTTGGAACCAGGATCTGTAAAATCGTTGAAGATGACCGTATTTTTAGATTTTGGGCGTGTTTGGCAAAATAGCGGTCAGCTGGTAGTACGTAGCTGGTAGCGGGAAGCTGTAGTTTTTATTTGTTATATGAATGTTTGGTAAAAAGACTGGAAGCTTTTAAAATATATAAAATTACATAAAAGGATAATTGATTAAAAATAAAAAAGTATATAAATATATTTTTAAGGGTAATTATGGAAATTGATTTCAAAAGCTCCGGAGCGTTTTGTTAAAAGCTACATGAAGTAGCTTTTAGAATCGGAGCGTTTTGATAAAACTAAAAGCTAAACGCTCGTACTGTCAAACCAAGCTTTTTGTTTAAACTAGAGCGTTTTGTCAAAAGCTAAAAGCTAGAAGCTCCTAAACGCTTCCAAAAGCTCTGTGCCAAACATGCTCTTTATCAAAACAGCTTCCGGTTTTAATCATTGCACACCAAATAGTAACAAGATTTGTATTATATTGCTAGGTGTTAATAATTATTTTATATCGGTTATAAAAAGTTTAGAAAAAAAAAAAAAAGATCACTTGTTATCCCTCTCTACCTTAATTATGTTCACTAGAGTGTTCATATTTATTTTTCTATTTAAAAATCAAATTCTAGGGAAAAAAATAGAATTTCCTATATATCCATAATCAACATCAAAATATCATATTTATCCAAACTAATATCATATTTACCCAAATCTTATTTTTTTAGCATTTTTTTAATCATTTACCGTAACTTAAAATTATTATAATCATAAAAAAAATATAGCAAACCAATAATAACCCTAATTTTATTTCTAGGGTATCAATAAGGACAAAACATTTTCCATTAAATTGAACATATATAGTTGAGAAATTTGTCTACAATAAAATTCAATATAAGTCGGATAACAATGAAGACAAGCCGTCGGTTAATGAATAATCAGAAACATAACTATGGCTTCTCCAAACAATAATATACTAATGACCCTAAAAAAACCAAAATAAAATAATCTTGACTGGAAGTAAATGAAATCAATTCCCCATTTTATATGAAGATGAGTGGGAAATCAATTCTCCGTTATGTATGAAAACGAGTGGGAGAAATTTTAGATTAGGTTAGTAGATTTTTATGTTTGAACTTAGGAAGCATGGGATAGGAGATTAAACATTTGTTTGACGAAGCCTCCATTTATACATGTTTATGGTTAAAAGCTTTCTCAACGAATTGGAAGAAAAAAGAAAAGAACATCATCGTTTGTGTTTCCAGGAGGCGTATTCCTTTTTACATTTTTCGTATTTGATTTATTTATTCCTACAAAATAGAAATAGGGGTGTTTATGGGTATTTTAAATTTTGTTATAATTATAATGATTCTAAACTCAAACAAATCATTATAAAAGTGTTAAAAATTTGGATTTTAGTAAAATATGATATTTTGAAAGTTTATTAAGGATATATATATATATATATATATATATATATATATATATATATATATATATATGATATTTAAATATTAGGTCGGACAAATATAATATTTTAATATTTATTAAGGACATATACGAAATTCTTTCAAAAAAACATCGTTTCTCAATAAAAGGTATCCCACGACACATTTACAAGATTTATTTTGTTGGGAAAAAAAATGAATTGTCAATCAATTTGTTTAACCAGTAAATGTGTTTGCGTTTTACAGCAAGTTTATTTATCTTAAACTTTTAAAACTGTTTGTGTAATGCTCACTTACACAAAAGTCATTTCTATAATTTCGTTATTAAATCGGTACAAATTGTTGCAACCAACGCATATTATAAACTATATGGATCGAAATTATAATCACTGAAATTAAAAACTACAGGTACCAAATTTTTAGTTATTGAAATTAAAAAGTGCATCAAAAAAATTATAAATTATTTCTTATGGGTAAAAAAAAAAAGACAGGAGACCTAATCAGAAGGGGGGAAAATTAATACAAATTAGAAGCTAAAGTGACTAAAACTAGTTTATCATAAATTTAAAACTGCAAGAACCGAAGCTATATCTAATGCAAATTATAAAGGGTTATTATCACTATAGCCCAACAAACTTTAGTATATTGGTTTAAATGGTCCCTTCATAACTAATTTTTGCATTTGAAGGGCACAAGCTTTTGTTTTATCGTCTTAAGTGGTCATTATCAAAAATATGAAGGGGTCACCCGGTGAACCCCTTCCTAATCATCAATTTTTATATGGCACATGGCATTTGATCAACTAAAATGGTCCAAACTACCCCTAATGTTACTGCAGTTCATCTCCTGAGATTGAGTTTGAAGACATTCGTTCTTGCAATTAACCACTGTCAAATCAAAATCAAAACAAACAATCAAAACATGTTACATATTAAGGAAGAAAATAGACAAAAATGGAAGTCATATAGGTTACCTCTAAGCCGAAAAATTTCAAGAAGAATCATTTGGGAACAGAGAGAGCTTGGGGCTAAGAATCGCAGCAGCTGCAGCACTTAGTTTCTTGTTTACATCAGGATTTAAATCTCCGATGGACACCGGCTCACCATACGACGCTGACTACTCGCTACCTCTAAAATCCATCAGCACAAATCCCTTGTGTAACTCTGACTTTATAATCACTACATTCGGTTTCAAATCTACCCCACGGAAGTTGAAATTCACTCATGAACACTGAAAACATTAACCAATCGTAAAAGCAAGTTATGGATTGATTAGAAATGGGGTTTCTTTTCCTTGGATAATTTTTGAAGCTATCAAATCATCAGGCCATCGATTGCATTATTATTGAATAGAAAAAGATGCTTCACGAGAACGATTCAACATCAGAAACCCCAAACGAATCGCAAAGTTCATCACCTGTACTTGATGACAAAAATCGAGAATATCCATAATATCGAGAAAATCGAGAGGATCGATGACGACTCGATCAAAAGTATTCCGATGTTGTGAAAATTAATAAAATTGAGATGAACGATGACAACCCAATCAATTTCGATTAAGAAGAATTTTGATTGATTCAGAGATAGATCGCTCCATTTAACTACATTTGCCATCAAAACATGTTGATGTTAGAACTCGTGTGTCTTCATCGCTGATCACCACCAATTCACAAACGTTGACCGAGAGAAAAGTAACCTCAGTCGATAAGAAACCATTGCTTCCGTCAAATCCATGATCGCCGACGAAATCAATTCTGACGGAAGAAAGCAAACAGGTTGCTTCAAACAATCCACCATTGTTTATCCTTGCGGGCTTTCTGGTAGTGGTCGTGGTTCTATGGAAGATTTATGTGGCCATTGTCGGTGGGTCTTCGGATATTCCTATCGCCAGAGACCAAACGATGGTTTTCGGAGAGTGTGTCGGGATAGTAAGTGTTTACTGTCACAATACTAGTCACCGAAATGTAGCAGGAGGGGGAATACGATGAGAAGCACAACGAAGTGACGAATATGAAGATAAATGTCACTTTATCGGTGGTCATTCTTCAGTTAGGTAGTGAGAAGTCAACAAAAGTATAACAAATGAAAATGTGGGGCCATAAGGTTTTAAAAGGAAAATAAAAAGTCAAATAAACTTATTGTAACCGGTAAAATTTGCTTAAAATGTGGTCTATCCCTTTATTAGCAGCACGTAAAACACAAGTTTGTGCCCTTCAAATACAAAAAATAGTTACGAATGACCATTTAAACTAATATACTAAAGTTTGTTGGGCTATAGTGACAATAACTCAATTACAAACTATAGAGACCTTGAAATGTAACATTGAAGTAAAAAACTAGATGGACTTAAAATATATTATTAAAAATTAAAAGTTACATAGATTAAAACTAAATTTATCTGAAAGTTAACAATTACGGAGTAATAAACATTTAATCATTCTATTATGACAATAATTGTATATAAAAGAAAACTACGTGGATTACATTTTTAATTATTTTATTCTAACAAAAACTATATATTATCTTATTCTTTATATAATTTTTATAAAAAGAGGTCATATAAATCAACATGATTTAAAATAAATCATTTTTCTGGAATCATATTCATTTAAAATCTCAAACTCTTGAATTTGTTCTAATTAATTCAAATATTTTACCTATATAAGAACATTATTTCTTATGTTTTGTTACCATATTTGCATTCTTTCTCTTTCAAATTTTGTTATATAAAATACATAAAAATTAAAAAGTGTTATAAAATATTTATCAAATAACAATATAAATTATAAAGTAAAGAAAGACAAGAGAGTAGATAGAACTTTTATTCCAATACTTGTGATGAAATCATCAAACTTTACAATACATAATATTCACTATTTATACTAAATAAAGAAGATGAAAGGTCATGTATGATATGAATGCACATTATAGTGGTGCATAACTACACTCATAAAACTTATAATAATGTTTGTTATAATGTTCACTAATTATGGAGAGTAATGGGGGAATATGAAAGAATCCAATAGTCATTCACTAAATAATAATTCATAACACTCCCCCTTGAATGACGATTGTATCATGCCTCGTTAAAACCTTAATCGGTAAAACCTCATGGGAAAAACCCTTTATTAAGGAAAAAGAGTACATGATTAATAATAGATATTGGAAACAATTGCCTCGTTAAAAACCTTGTTAAGAAAACCCAGTGGGAAAAACATAACTAAGGAAAAGAGTACAATATGTTTCCAACTCCCCCTGATTAGCACATCACTTGATTTTCTTGAAGCACCGCATAACAATGTTTCTTACCATCTTTTCAAATTTCGATGTAGGAAGTGCTTTAGTAAACCAATCAGGAAAGTTGTTACTGGATTGAATTTTCTAGATGTTGATGTCACACTCTTTTTGAAGATCATGAGTGAAATAAACTTTGGTGATATATGCTTGGTTCTGTCTCCTTTGATAAATCATTCCTTGAATGGAGCTATACAAGTTGTATTATCTTCATATAGTATGGTTGGAACATCCCTGTTAGAAGTTAGACCACAATTCTTGCAAATGTATTGAGTTAAAATTCTTAACCAAATACATTCATGACTTGCCTTATAAATTGCTATA